TTACTTCTCACAGGCAGTCGCTCATTCATCCAATCACTATGGCTAGAGTAGTTCTTTATATTAAACCTTCCCTGTCAAATCCCTGTGTGGTTTCCTATCTCCTGGTGATAAAGCGAAGGGAGCTGATGCTGCTGATCAGAGAAGCACAGTCTGAGAAACGCTGGTGTAGACTAACCAGGATTCAGATCCTCAAGTCCACGGCCACGACAGAAACAAGTAAAAAGAAGGGAAGAAACGGCCAACAGTGCCAACTTTAGATACCTTTCATGATTAAAAAAAAACAAACCCTGGTTCACTGCTTTTCATAATACTTGGACCAACGTTGTCAAAATGTTACAGAAGCTTACTTACGGAAACGTACCTCAGTGAAGCAGACTTGAGCTGCGTTTAGAACTGGAGGTGAATTGCATTCATTGTTTACACCACACATACTCACCACTAACCTAAATGAAACCAACAAATGACTTCAATACTGAGTAATAAAGTTATCAGGTTGGGAGATTTTAGTTAGCCTTTTCTCACATCACCATTGGTAAAATTATTCAATGCCTACTTTACAGATTACCCTCTAAATTGGTTTCCTGGGGTGCTGAAACAAACTGGGTGGCTTAAAAATAACACAAATATAGTCTCTCAGTTCTGGAGCCCGTAAGCCCAAAATCAAGGCGCTGGCAGGGCCGTGCTCCCTGAGACTCTGGCTAGCTTCCAGTGTTTGCTGGCAATCTCTGGCGCTCCCTGGCTTGCAGATGCACCACTCCAATCTCTGCCTCCATCATTTCATAGCCTTCTCCCTTCTCCCTGTGCCGTATCGGATCAACAGCCCACCCTACGCCAGCATGAAAGTAACTAACTACACTTAACATAACTATTCTAAAACAAGGTCACATTCTGAAGTTCCGGTGGTTAGAACGTCGTCCTTTTGGGAGACACAATTCAGCCTATTAACACCCTCATTTCCATGAAACTTCATGTTTATCAAAACAAATGCATACTTGGTAACAACTATCTTTATGACGTTCTTACTATTTTAAGAATTAAAAATGTAATACTCTGCCAATCATCATCTATACAGAAGACAGTGGAACTTAATTCACATTCATTTTATCTTATGATTTTCCGAAACCTAAGAAGTATTCTTGCCATCTCTTAAAATCAGAAGTCCCTCTCTCCCTTTAATGGGCTCTCATTTTCAAGTTCAAGAATATGGAAGAAAAGTAAAAAACAAAAGAACATTTCCTTTAGCACATAATCACAACCACTGGCAAGGGTCCCCACCTGACTCATTCTAATTGTTTAGATGCACGGAGGCATCACAATACTCGCTTGTGGTTCAATTTTCTTTTCCCGAAGCCACTTTAGTATATGGTTGAGATCAAAGCCACATTTACCAGATATAAAGGGTAAAAAGAAAAATATGTAAATTCAGAACAAGTGTTTATCTTCCGTGAGGCAGAAAATGAAACTCAACTGTTTCCACCTCTTTACTGTTCTCGGGGAGACTGAAATAGTGGTCAGGAGTTCCTCTCACTCATTTTCAACTAAACATTGCAGCAACCTCCTTACTCTCAGGACAGTATTTGGACAGTGACTGACAGTATGAATGACGGGTTTAAAAATACTGACTGTAAAGAATTTGAACAAAGTCACAAACGTAACCGAAGGTATGTGAAAACAGAAGAAAATCTGGAAAACCAATATTGACAATGTTGAATTCTAAACCGTTTAAGCATTGACTTTTCAAGGGGAAGAAAAAGTTGCATTTACTGGGGGCCTACTAGGTACTACATAATGCAGTTTGTCGAGCCGTTTAGACTTCACCTAATTCAATTACCGACATCCCTGTGAGCTGGGGACTGTTCTCCACTGAATCACATACAAGAAAAGAGATGTTCAAAGAAGTCACTTGCCTATAAGATTCCATATTCGGAACAACAGCTCTTTCAAAATTTCCTTCTAAATTCGGGCGAACGTACACGTTTCCAAAGACAAAGTACGTGGGGAGCCGGGGAGGTAGAGGGAGAGTGGGAACGGAGAGCAGCGGGAAGACGGAAACCTCACCAGGAAACGTGCTTCCACCCAGCACGAAGGCAGCTGTGCACCAGCACAGGCCCACGGGTTCCCTCCCGGCCGCCTTCCCCCCACGGGAACGTTCATCCGGACGCCCCGCGTCCGACCCCGCGGCGCAGGGGTCGGAGCCGTCAGGGCGACCCGACTGCGCAG